GTAGTGGTTACGAATCAGGCTGTGAACCACAAGGTCAGCAGTTCAAAACTACCAGCGGTTCCGCGGGAGAAAGAGGAGGCATTCTGCTCCCGTAAAGATTTACAGCCTCGGAAACCCTGTGCAGGGTCGCTATGAATCAGAACCGACTCCACGGCACATAACAACAACAGTACTGTTGTATAAGAACAAAAGGCTAGACATAATGTAGGAATAAAAATGAAGATTTTTGACTACTTATACAGAAAAACCTTTTAGTTACATTAATTGACAAAAATAGAAAAAAGAGAATACAATTATATTATTTGTTTATTGGGGTAAAAAAAGGATGAAAAAACATATTTTGTTTATATATGCTTGTATGAAGTAGAAAATAGGGCGGAAAGAGCAATAGAAGAGGAGGGAGACTATTCAAAACACTTGTATTTCACTAATATTACATATTTAAGTATTAAAAATCAACTTTAATGGATATTCAAAATGTACTGATTTTCTTTTTAACAGTATAAGTTTTGCTGAGTTAAAGACATCAAAGGAAACAAGACACATACCTTTGTGGCTTCCATTATAATCTTGTTAATTTTCTCTTTATCTAGACCCTCCATTCCCGCTTTATTATCATTCAGTCCCATCCTAAGCAGAAGATCATCTTTGTAATCATCACTCTTCTCCTTTGTGCTGTCCATGGTGAAATTGAAAATGCCTTCTTTTGTTACCTGAAAAGTCATGCAAAATGAACATTACCTTTAAAAGGATCCAGCAAGGGGGTATCGAAAAGTTAAAATGACAGATCAGCAAAAAGAGTTAAAAAAAAAAAAAAGATAGTTAAAAATTTTTAACAATTGGGAAATACTCAATTTTTTAAAAATCTGCTATGTCAAGATTATTGTATTTTTGAAGGGAAGAAAGATATTTACTGTAGCCATGGGCCAGGCACTATGCTTACATTTTACATATGACCCGCGGAGCAGCCCTGAGAGGTAGACAATATTATTTCCAATAGAAAGAGACAAGAAATTTAAGTCATAAACGATGTCTATGAACACAAATTTGTTAGTTACGGGGCAACATCTGTGTTGAAACTCAGGTCTGAATCCAAAGTTCATGCTTTTTCCCAGATTAATTCATTGCATAAGAAATAAATGAAAATAATACCACTGATGTAAAGTGCCCTCAAGTAGCTTCCAATGCATAATGACCCTGGATAGGGTTTCTGAGGAGTGGCTGGTTGAACTGCTGACCTTGAAGTTAGCAGTTCAGTGCTTACCCTATAGTGCCACACCAGGACCCCACAACACTACTTGTTGTAGTATGCTCTTGAGTGGATTCCGATTCATAGCAATCCTGTATAGGCAGCAAATTTGAGGGTGTATTTACAAGAGCAGAAAGCTTCATCTTCTGCCATCGAGTGTCTGGTGGAATTCAAACTTCTCACCTTGTGGTTAGCAGCCGGACACATCGTAACTCAATACACCTTCAGTGTCCTTTATAACACTACTTGTAATTGTTAAGTATCATCAAGTCAGTTCTAACTCATAGCAACCCTGGATAGGGTTTCCAACGAGTGGCTGGTGAGTTTGAACCTGCGACTGTGTGTTTCCACAGCACCACCAGGACTCCACTAAGCACGTTAACTTCAATAGCACTTATTATCTACTATATGCAGAGCTCTGGTAGCTTAGTGGTTACGAATCGGGCTGCTAACCTCAAGGTCAGTAGTTCGAAACTACCAGCCGTTCCGCTGGAGAAAAGATGAGGCGTTCTGCTTCTGTAAAGATTTACAGCCTCAGAAACCCTGTGCAGGGTCACTATGAGTCAGAACCAACTCCACGGTACTTAACAACAACAACAACATACGCAGAGCTCTGGACTCCTGGTGTGGTGCAGTAAGATTAGTACTGGACTTCAAGCCACAAAGTCGGCAGTTCAAACTCACCATCCAATTGTACTTGACAACAACATATGCAGCATTCTATTCCTCTTGTTGTTAGGTGCTATGTACCGACTCATAGCAACTTATGCACAACAAAAAGAACGCTGCCCGGTCCTGCGCCAATCTCACAATCACTGCTATTCCTGAGCCCATCGCTGCTACCACAGTGCCAATCCATTTTCCTTAGGGATTTTCCTCTTTTTCTCTGACTCTCCACTTTAGCAAACATGATATCCTTCCTCATGGACTGGTCCATCCTGATAATATGTCCAAAGTATGTGAGGAGATGTCTGGAAAACTCTGGCTTCTAAAGAAGATTCTGACCATTCTTCTTCCAACACAGATCTGTTCTTTTGGCAGTCCCTGGTACTTTCAATATTCTCCTACAGTACCAAAACTCAAATGCATCCATTCTTTTATGGTCTTTCTTATTCACTGTCCAACATTCAAATGCAAATAAAGTTATTGAAAATACCATGGCTTGGATCAGGCACACCTTAGTCCTCAAAATCACATCTCTGCTTTTGAACTAAACTCTAAAGAGGTCTCGTGCAGCAGATTTGCCTAATGCAGTGCATCCTTTGATTTCTTGATCGCTGCTTCCTTGAGTGTTGATGGTTGATCTGAGCAACTTGCAGTCCTTGACAACTTCAGTCTTTTCTCCATTTATATGGATGTTGTTTATTGGCCTGTAGTGAGGACTTTTGTTTTCTTTACACTGAGATGCAGTCTATACCAAAGGCTGTGGTCTTTGATCTTAATCAGTAAGTATTTTAAGTCCTCTTCACTTCAACAAGGAAGGTTGTATCATCTGCATATCACAGGGTGTAAATGACTCTTCTCCAACATTGATGCCATGTTTTTCTTTATATAATCCACCTTCTTGGATTATGTGGTCCAAGATTGAAAAATATGATGAAAGAGCACAACCCTGGTACACACTTTTCCTAATTTGAAACCACTGGGTGTTCCTTTGTTCTGTTCAAACAATGGCTTCTTGGTCTATGTACAGGTTCCTTGTGAGCACAATTAACTGTTCTGGAATATTCATACTTCGCAATGTTGTCCATAGCTTGTCATGATCCACACAATCGAAAGCCTTCACTCAGTCAATAAAGCACAGGTAAGCATCTTTCTGGTATTCTCTGCTTTCAGTCAAAATCCATCTGATGTCAGCAATGATATTCCTTGTTCCACATCCTCTTCTGAATCCATCTTGAACTTTGGAAAGTTCTCTGTCAATGTTTGGTTGCAGCTGCTTTTTAAATTATCTTTAGTAAAACTTTATTTGCATGAAATAGCAATGATATTTTTCGATGATTTCCACATTCCATTGAGTCACCTGTCTTTGGAATGGGCACACATAGGTATCTCTTCCAGTCAGTTGGCCAGGTAGTTGTCTTCCAAGTTTCTCGGTCTAGATGAGTAAGTGCCTCCAGTGCTGCCTCAGTTTGTTGAAAGATTTCAATTTGTATTCCATCAATTCCCAGTGCCTTGTTCTTTGCCAGTTCTTTCAATGCACCTTGGACTTCTTCCTTCAGGATCATTGGCTCTTGGTGATATGCTACCTCTTGAAATGGTTGAATATCGATCATTTATTTCAGCATCGTTCAATATTTTACCCCACAGAATCCTTCAATACTGCAAATGAGGCTTGAATTTTTTCTTCATTTCCCTCACCTTGAGAAATGCTGAGCATGTTTTTTCCCTTTGGTTTTCTAACTCCAGATCTTTGCACATTTCATTAATAACAGTCTACTTTGTGTTCTCGAGCTGACCTTTGAAATTTTATGTTCAGCTCTTGGTACCTTTTCAATTCTTCCATTTGCTTTAGCATCTCTACACTGGAGAGCAAGTTTCAGAGTCTCTTCTGACATGCATTTTAGTCTTCCCTCTTTCTTGTCTTCTTAGTGACCATTTGCTTTCTTCTTGTATGATGTTCTTGATGGCATCCTACAACTCTTCCAGTCTTCAGTCTTTAGTATCTAATGTATCAGATCTGTTTTTCAGATGAGCTCTAAATTCAGGTAGGATATAGTCAAGGTCATATTTTGGCTCTTGTGGGCTTGTTTTAATTTTCTTCAGTTTCAACCTGAATTTGTATATGAGCAATTGAAGGTCTGTTCCACAGTCTGCCCCTGGCCTTGTTTTGGCTTATGATATGGAGCTTTTTCACTGATTCTTTCCACAGATATTGTCAATTTGATTTCTGGGTATTCCATATGGTGAGGTCCATGGGTATAGTCAACTTTGATATTGTTTAAAAAAGGTATTTGCAGTGAACAAGCCATTTGTCTTGCAAAACTCTGTCATGTGATCTCCAGCATCGCTTCTATCACCAAGGCCATATTTTCCAACTACTGATCCTTCCTCTTTGTTTCCAACCTTTGCAAGTCCGTGAAAGCCAAAATATAACCTTGAGCAAATATTGTAGGAGACTATATTATTGTAAAAGCTTAAGAAAAGGTTTCCATAGTGAAAAAAAAAATTCTATGGTGGTTACCAGGTGTGGTATGAAAGGGACAGTAATTCACTGGCTAAAGGGTAGACACCTTAGCTCAGGTGACAGACAGGGCAATGTACAAGAAGGAGGAGGGCAATGTATGACAAGAGAGAGGAGCAAAAGAATAATGAAGGTAGGTGAAGGCACAGAGTTGTTGTGAAGTGCTGTCGAGTCGATTCCGACCCATAACGACCCTGTATAGGGTTTCCAAGGAGCAACTGGTGAGCTTGAACCACCGACCTTTCAGTTCAAATGACTTTTCAGTCTGACGTATTAGCTTACAGCACCACACTAGGAGAGGGAGGTTGCTGTTACTGTTAAATGCTGTCGAATTGGTTCCAACTCATAGAAACCCTGTATAGAGTTTCCAAGGAGTAGCTGGTGGGTTTGGACCACTGACCTTGTGGCTCTCAGTCCCGTGCTTATACTACAGTGCCACACCAGGAGTCTGGCAGTTCTATTAGCCAGAGGGGGAAAAAAAGTATAGATAGATAGATAGATATTCATGGTTCTCAAACTTTAGGCTCACTTGGAGCAATTTAAAAATCTTGATGCCCAGTTTGCATCTCATAACAAACAAGTCAGAAAGTCTGGGAGTAGAGACATTAGTATTTTTTAGAGATGCCCAAGTAATTCTAATAGGAACCAAACAACAGAAACCACTGATGGAGATGTTTCTGGGTGCTCAAAGGAATGGAAGCTGGTTTTCTTTTGTCATCATTCACATTTATTTTTCCTTTGAATCTCAGATTCAATTTAACATTACTCTATATTATGTCTCATTCTCCAGCAATCCAATTCCTCTTTCATTGTTGAGCAAAGTAGCTAAATGGTGTGAAAAGTCCAAATACAGTGATCATACATTTTAAGCTGTTTTGCCCTTAATACAATGAAATGTAATACATGAAACCTTCATTGATTATGCTCTTCTTCACATGTATACATTAATCCATTATTTCCCAAACTGTAAAAATTGGTTTGTTTCTTAATTGGGTTAGGAAAACTGGGTTACTAGCAATATTGGCGGCAGGCAAAATTAGGAGAGGGAGGTAGTTTTTTAGCTACGTTTCTGATTGTTGATGTCCAATTACCATGCAACTATGTCCAGTTCATGGGTGTATGTTTCATATCCTTTATATGCCAATGATGGCCAAGTGTACAGCTCCGTTCCAATTGCCTGTTAACATCTCAAATTTAACATTTCTCAAACTGATCTCATCTGCTTACATTCACCAATTGCTTCCAAATAC